CCCCTTGCACCATCGGCCTGGGGCACATCAAGTTCGTACTCCGTTGCGTACCTGCCAACCCTCTCCATCTTCCCAGACTCGAACTTCTGCTGAGTCCGTCATGCGATCTCGTCACTGAGACTGCATCACCTGGAGAAACAGGAAACGGACACAGGAAACAACGAACTACTTCAAGTTCTCGCTCAAGAATCCCGAGACCTAACGGACCAACTTCTCGAACACATGGAACGCCATTGGCAAGGAACACGCATCCGGGGCAAGCTTAGGCGACACCAGATGGTGGGAACAATGAACGTTAGATTTTTCGCGATGGCTAAAGTAAGATCCGGGAGGTTAGTCATAGAGGCCTTGGCTGAGCCAAAACAACCCCAAGGATCGCTAGTCACCTCCACACCGGAATGCACATTCATAGCCAGAGAATTTTATAAGGAACTTTTCACCGTAACCTCTGAATGCGCTCACATACCGGACCATCAAAGAATAAAAGAAATAGAAGAGTTCCTTCTCCCTCTGAATGTCCCCCTACCTGAACAGCAAAGGGACTCCCTGGAGCATCCCCTTACCAAAAATGAAATCTGGTCAGCCCTCATGCTTATGGATAATGGATGAGGAAAAGACCCCAGGCATAGATGATCTCCCCAGAGAGTTCTGAGAATCACTGTGGGACTTCCTAGCACAACACGTGATGGATTTCTACCGAGCAGTATGAACGTCTGGGAGGATGGGTGAATTGGTGGGACAATGTATACTAACCCTGTTATATAAAAAAAAAGGGACAGGAACAATATACGGAATTATCGGTCAATCACCCTACTCACAGTAGTCTACAAGATGGCAGCCAAGGCGCTGGCCAACCGACTGACAAAGGTAATAGCAGACATAATTCAGCCGACACAAATAGGCTTCATAGCAGGAAGGAAGATACAGGATAACATTCTACTCATCAACGAGCTCATAAAGTTGTCCCGCCAATCAAAGCATAACGCAACCTTCATATTCATTGATTTTGAGAAAGCCTACGATCATGTCGACTGACTTTTCTTAGACAAATGCCTGGAAAGATTCAATTTCGGACCTTGCTTCCGAAGATGGATAAAGATCTTGCACAAGAACGCCACAACACGAGTAATGGTCAACGGTAACCTGGCACCACCCATCTCCCTGCAGCGGTCGGTACGCCAAGGCGATCCGATTGCCCCCTTCCTCTTTGAACACAAAGACATAAAGAAGATCCAGGTAGCCTCAATCCCAGAAGAGGTGATCCCTGTTTGTTCCCTATTTGTTGACGACCTCTCCCTAATGGTGGAGGCATCAGCAGCAAACTTAAAGGAAATCCAAGCTATGATGAGCAAATTTTGCACACTATCAGACATGAAAATTAACTAGGGCAACAAATCTTTAGGATGGTGGATCCATCATCAGGGAGTCAGACCCCCAAAACTCCTGTGCCAGGTTACCGTTGACGCTCCCATCCATATTTTGGGGGTCTCTCTCACAGCTGAAGGAAGACCGACTACCAACAATGAATGGATATCGCAACCCGCACTGGAAAAACTAACAGGTTGAGCTTGGAAAGACAAACATACATCCCTACTAGGCCGGACGCTGGTGATAAACAACGTGGTCCTGGCATCACTCTGGTACAGATCAGCAATCTGGGCACTGGACAAGGCAAGCCTTCAGCCGCTCCGGAGACAAGCAGCAGCTTATTTGTGGAGAGGTAACCATGAGCACACAAATGTTATCAGCAGAGTGGCATGGCAATCAATAATCCAGCCCAAATCAAAGGGAGGATTAGGAATCATCGACTCATTGACACAGACCCAAGCACCC